ATGTACTGCGGAGACGCATCGACATCTGGCAATCATCTTACTCGAAGAATAGGGTCTGCGTGTGGCGAGCTACGGGACAGAGACCGTTGGAATATTTATTGTCGAGTGTTACAACTATTTCCCTTTTAAGGAGAGCTATAGAATTGCTCCATGCCTTTGTTAGACAAAGCGTTCATCCCGTGACCGCGGCTCCGTTCGGCGACTGGCTGTCGCCTCGAGCCCAAGCTCATCATCACAACTCGCGAACAATTACAATCGGATTGAATAACTACGATTGTTTAATTAGACGCATCGACATCTGGCAATCATCTTACTCGAAGAATAGGGTCTGCGTGTGGCGAGCTACGGGACAGAGACCGTTGGAATATTTATTGTCGAGTGTTACAACTATTTCCCTTTTAAGGAGAGCTATAGAATTGCTCCATGCCTTTGTTAGACAAAGCGTTCATCCCGTGACCGCGGCTACGTTCGGCGACTGGCTGTCGCCTCGAGCCCAAGCTCATTATCACAAATCTCGAACAAATACAATCGGATCGAAGGACGACAATTGTTTAATTACGCCTATGATAGAATCTAGATTACGGTGTTAAGAGATTTTCCCGAAGTTCCAAAGGGAAGGTTCTGATGTCCTTTCATCTCCGACATATATTTATTTAGTTTTATCATTTTCGCTTGAATAATAAACAATTCTGTTTACTATCACCAGATGGCGAACCTATCAGATAAACTTAGTGTTGCTATTAACTCGATTGTCGTGTTGAGTTTGTTAATGTTTATAAGAAAGTGAAATATTACTTTAGATATTAAATATTTTATAGAAATGACAAGTATTACAATATCAGCAGTTCGAACACGAACAAGTATACTTGATAAATCATTAAGTAAGGGAAAGGGAGAGGTTAGCTTGAGTTGTTTCGCACTTCTGTTTTCAGAACTTGTGCAATACTGCCAAAATCGAGTTTACACCGTCCCAGAATTACAAAATAAGTATGTAAATAATCAAGTTCATTAAAAGTTCTTATATACAAATGTTTTCTATTTATTGGTTAGATTGGCAGAGATAGGTACAGAGGTTGGTCATAAAGTAACAGATTTACTCGTTGTACGGGAAAAAGGTGGAAAGCGCGAGATAAAATTATTAAATATTTTATTATTTATTAAAAGTACGGTATGGAAGTCATTGTTTGGTCGTGAAGCTGATAAATTAGAACATGCAAATGATGACGAACGGACTTACTATATCATAGAAAAAGAAGCACTAGTAAATAAATTTATATCAGTTCCAAAAGATAAAGGAAGTCTAAACTGTGCTTCTTTTATTGCTGGTATAGTTGAAGCTATTCTTTGTGATTGTGGTTTTGTGAGTATTAAATTTTTGTCAATATCACTATTTCAATTATAAAATTATTTAGGTAATGAATTAATTGGAAATATTTGCATTTGTAGCAAGCAAAAGTCACTGCACATTGGCATAAAGGAACAACATATATGGTTAAATTTGATGATGCAGTTGTTGCTCGTGATAAACAACTCGAAGATCGATAATTAAAGACATAGGAAAGAAATTAAAAGTAATAAGATAAAATTTTATATTCCAATACAATTAAGGAATGAATATCTTTGAATTAAAAATATAAAAAAAGAATTCCTTGGTTTTGTTTGTGGTCGATTTAAATTATTTTCACAGATAAACATTTCAGCATTTCATAATAATTTTCCTTTGTTTATTGAAAATGGAATCATATGTGCGAAAATGAAGTGCCAGCAAATAAAATGACATGTACATAGTTATAGCATTTTATATTTACTAATGAAGTATTTATTTTATATTTTATTGTACAGATGCTGACATATATATTGTAAGTTTAAGATCTACAAATATACAATTGGAAAAAGAAATGTTATTCTGCAAATTTAAATTCTCTATCAACATATGCTACTTGACCAGTACGATACAAATATTCTTGATCACCCTATAAAATAAAACAAATTTTATGTTCATGGTATAACTCATTAAACAAACATTTAATAATATACCTTCACTTTTCCGAGTAATTTTGTACCAAAATATATGGCTCCAAACCACATCAAACCAAATACTAAATGTGGTACAAACTTTACACGTGAAACATAATCATGGTTATGTCTCAATGCAACTAGTCGTTGAACTGCATTATCCACCTATATTAATTAATTACGTATTTAATACAAATATCATAAGGTCTTTTAACAATTAACAAAATTAATATTAAAGTAATTTTTAACGATATTTTCGTGTAATTTATATCAATGAGAAAAATACTTGTTACATAATTACATTTTTTGCATAAAATTATGAGACTATTCCATAATTAAATTAATAATTACCTTAAATAACTAAGCATACATTACATAATTAGAAATGAATCTAAATGAGTTACATTTTTTTCAGATACAACGGAAATTATTATTAAATCTATATAAGTAAGGTTAAAAAATTATCACTACATACGGGCATTACTTGCATCGATGGGTTGAGAACTTCTTTTAAATATTTGTGACGTAATTGAGTTCTTCTCGTGTATCTCCATTCTAGTATTGCTCGTTGTTTTTGTGATACATCGTAGGATCCTATTTTCTGTGCACACATCTTTTCCAGCAGAAAATTTGCACTGTTCAGAAGGAATACGCGACAAATCGCAAAAGCTACATGGAACTCTTTGTAACTGCAACCTGGAATAGCGATATAGGCTACCTATACTTTTGATAAATATGTATATGCATACATATATATGTGTAGAATCTATATCTAGAATTTGTTTAGGGAAATCTTTGATGAACATTTAGTTGTTAATATATATAATATATATAATATTATATATACATATATGTGATATATAAACATAATAATATACAATAATACTTTTTAATTTTCTGATACGTACTATTTTAATCAAATTTAGAGATTATGTCAAATTTAATATCTAGAATTCAATTTAAGTAATAACACGTAAGCAAAAATGGAAAGTTCATCATAAACATATAACTACATAATATTTATGATAAACTACGTATATATCTGATTTGTACAAGAATGATTAATGAAAATAAATAAAATAATTATTAATTGTTATATGTATGAAATAAAAAGTAACAATAAATAGTAGTAGTAGTAGCATTAGTAGTTTCTTTTATTGTGTTGGACTTTCGTCCATGATAATCTTAAAATTAAATATACATTTAGCGATAATTATACTTTATGTCTGTTTTACATTATTGCTTATTGACATATTATTTACTTAGAATTACTAGTTAGATCTACATTACAATTGTTTGTTAGAATAGTTTAAATAGTTAAATAAACAGCTTAAATAGTGTCGACAGATTATAAAGTTTGAATGAAAAGAATGCGTAAACATTGTTTGCGATAAAATACATCACTCACATATAGACACATATGTTTGAAATGTGGGTTGCTCACACTTATCAAAATCACATGACAAATGACAACTGCAATGTACTGTGGAGGATGATATTCAAATCGATTTACGTAAAATATCCGGACGCATGTGAATAGATAAAGATTATCCGATATTCTATATTCCAGTATTTCCTAATGGATTGAAATTTTATTAAAACTGTGTTATTAATTTAGTTATTACATAATACATGTATAATATTATAAAAAATATTTGTTAATATTGTTATTTGGCATTTCGGAAAGCTCAATAAATAAAAGACGAAAGATTTGAAACCTTAAAAGATTTTAGTTTAAAACACAAAAAGTTGTAGTTCTATGAAAAATTGCTCAGTACATATAGCTAATTGAGATTCAAACATTTCTAACAAGATAATATATTTTTAAACAATTCAAAAACAGTTCAACTAAGTGTAATATATGTATACGATAAAATTCATATTCTTAGCTCTGTGTACAACATATTCAAGAGCTATAAGTGTTAAGAGTAGTTTCTATATCTTAAACCATTTTATGTTTCCATTATATTTTATTATCGCAGTTTTTAAAAATATTTTTGTATATGTATACAATTTTAAATCCAATATATTCATATTTATCATATAGTTTAATAATGTTCTTATTTTTCTTATGAGTCATATAATATCGTGATGGATGCGGAAATTGGAAGTTGGGAGACGCTATCACACTACAGAACCAATGATGAATCACGTAGTAGAAGGGGAAGCTATAGAATATAGAGAAGAGAGAGCGCTTTACACTTTGACAGTAGTCTAGCTAAAAATCTGAAGTCTGAAAGATCGTGGTTACTATTGGTTAGTGGGCAGTCTGAAATAACGGGTCATACCTACGTTGTATGTATCAATTGTTTTGCGTCAAATCCTCTCAGCAATTAAATTATTCTTGGTAAGGCATTTAAAACTTGTTTCATCGTTTATGTCATTAATATCGAATCGTAATTAGACATAAATATAAATGTATATAACTTATACATTATTGTTATACTTTTCAGGAATTATATTTTACGATAATATTTGACTTTTCTTTTTCTTTTTTTTTTAAATATGTAACCTTATCCTTTTTTGGACAATTAAATATTTCATTTTAATCCGAGTATTATAAAATTATACTGATTGCGGAAATCCATTTATATGTCGGAGAAAGATCGTGCTTTGTTCGGCATATATTAAGAGTTAGAGAATTATTTCTTTTTGTTCTTTGTCATATGATTAATTTGAAAAGATTAACCAACACTCATTTACTTGTGATATCGATATAAATGTATCGATAAAATACTTGATATGTATGCTCCTGTTACACAGAATTCCAATTGATGACTATCATATTATGTCTTTGTTCGTATGATGACAATGATAGATGTAATGTACAATTTTATGCGTAGTAGAAATTTTTGTATACAAGTAATGGTAGATATCACGGAAATACATAGGTCAACAAAATATGTAATTACATATTTTTTTTATAAATAATACGGATTTCAAGCGTAGGATTTTTATATGATTTAAAAATTTCCTTTCTTATTGTCATTATCTAAATTTTTATTAATAATTTCATTACGTAAAATTGATTTATATTTTCACTTTGCACTATCCGTATAAATATTCCTTTTAATATTTACATATTTTCGATAACAGACAGTACAAAGACGTCATTTTATAAAATGAAATTAATGATTGATACAAATATGGCGCTATCTAGATTTTCAAATTTCGACTTTCTTTTTATAAACAATATAATGGTAGAAAACATTTGACACAAATTTAAAAACGATCAGGAAATAAAATGTATAGAAGATAATATATTTTAATAAAAAAATTAATTTGTATATATTTTTTTCAGATATAATTGCAAAATCATGAAGCTGTTTCTGCTTTTAATTGTAGCAATACTTGCTACGGCACAAGCTATTTCTTTTTTTGAATTGGTTAATCAAGAATGGACAACATTTAAGGTAATTTAATATATTGCTTTTATGAAAAAGGTTAATAATGCTGTAATAATTTTGATATATCTTGTGTAACACATTAAAAATTTTGTCTTAAATTGAATCAGTTATATTGTTTAAATAAGAAATGTCCCCTTGTATATGAAATGTATCTGGCCTGCAGTTGATCTTTATCAGTATATATATCTTTATGTGCAGATAAAGTATTTTCCTAGAAATAAATATGAAAATTTGTTTATTTTTATAGCATAATATTTATATAATATTCTAAAATATTTTAGAGTATAGAACAATCTTTATAATAACAATAACATAAATGATTATAAATTACAATAAAATAAAGAGATATACCTTGTATTATTCATTTTTAGATGGAACATAATAAGGTATATAAAAATGATATAGAAGAAAGATTCAGGATGAAGATATTTATGGACAATAAACATAAAATAGCTAAACATAATGGGAATTACGAAATGAAAAAGGTTTCATATAAATTAAAGATGAATAAATATGGTGACATGGTAAATAAATTGCAAAATTTAAATAGCTTCATATTACGTATATATATTGAAAATTGTATAATTTGATTTTTAGCTTCATCATGAATTTGTGAATACGTTAAATGGTTTTAATAAATCCATAAATACTCAGTTGAGATCTGAGAGATTACCTATAGGAGCTTCATTTATTGAACCAGCGAATGTAGTGTTACCAAAGACAGTTGATTGGAGAGAACATGGTGCTGTAACTCCAGTCAAGGATCAGGGACATTGTGGGTCATGCTGGTCATTTTCTGCAGTAAGTTTTGTGACTAACAGTATACAATAGTTTAGATATCAATAATAATTCAAATAAAAAAATTAAATTATAAGATATATATTTAATGTTTTTAATAAATTTACTTAGTGAATTATTTATTAAAAAATTATAATTAGGATTTTAATATATTGTAATCAAGTTTTAATGAAATGAATCGATCAAAATCATTGTATAGACTGGCGCATTAGAAGGACAACATTTTCGACGAACAGGAATTTTAATCCCTTTAAGTGAGCAAAATTTAATTGATTGCTCTGGAAAATATGGCAATAATGGATGTAATGGAGGACTGATGGATCAAGCTTTTCAATATATTAAAGATAATAAAGGTTTAGATACAGAAGTTACTTATCCATATGAAGCTGAAAATGATAAATGCAGGTAAGTATTATAAGAAAAGATTTTTTCCCAGTTACTATGATTAATTATTTCATAATGTGTAGATATAATGCAGCAAATAGTGGTGCCCGTGATGTTGGCTATGTAGACATTCCTCAAGGTAATGAGAAAAAGCTTAAAGCAGCGGTTGCTACTATAGGCCCAGTCTCTGTTGCTATCGATGCTTCTCATCAGTCTTTCCAATTTTATTCCGAAGGTTTGTTTGTTCATTATATAATTTGATGCTAAACTATGAATTTGAACCAATTGTTAGTTTCTAATAAAATAAATGTTATATCTAAATTATAGGAGTCTATTATGAACCAGAATGTTCTTCAGAAAACTTGGATCACGGAGTATTAGCAGTAGGATATGGAACTGATGAAAATGGTCAGGATTACTGGCTAGTAAAAAATAGTTGGGGTGAAACATGGGGTGATAATGGGTATATTAAAATGGCTAGGAATAAATTGAACCATTGTGGTATTGCTTCCACTGCTAGTTATCCTCTTGTTGGGTCTCAAGGATAGTTTGTTAAGGATTTTATGAATAATTCTAAGATGCAAACAAAAAGTGAAAAAACGAAAATTAATAATAAGTATTTAAACATATCTAAGTTTCTGTTTGTACATCACAAAAGCAAATATATTTTTTTTATTAATTGAATAAAAGGAATGTTTATTAATATTACATTGTTTTAATATTACCTTTTAAAATTTTTATATATACATATACATATACAGGGTGGTTGGTAACTGGTGGTACAAGCGGAAAGGGGGTGATCCTACGCGAGAAAAGAAGTCGAAAATATAGAATAAACATTTTTCGTTTGAGGCTCTGTTTTCGAGAAAATCGACTTTGAATTTTCGTTCGGTACGCGTGCGGTACGTTATAACGGATCTCACTGTAGATCGTTGTCTCGATGGAAAAATTTGAAAAAAAAATAAAAAAGAAATTTTTATTCTATATTTTCGACTTCTTTTTTCGCGTAGAATCACCCCCTTTCCGCTTGTACCACCAGTTACCAACCACCCTGTATATGTATATGTATATATAAAAATTTATGAAGTGTCTTGAACACTAAATTGATGTGTTGAATCTTTAAACGCAAGATGGATGCCATTGAATTAGTTTGTGCCGAGACTGTCGAGGCGTATGCATAAGCTGTTACCATCAGCGGTCACAATGTGGAGTGCTACGGCATTAATATATGCATGTTGTAAAATATAGCCTTATGTAAAAATTGTAAAATTTTTATCAACTAACAAATTATGAATGCATGAATCGATATTGTGCGAGTTTTAGTTGTGTTAGTATATTATATTGAAGCATATTTACAGTTTAAACATAACCTATTAGATTTCAAAATTGGTCGACGTTTATTCCATGTACATATTCGGTGATTTAAATAAATGAGTACGTTTAAAAGATTTGTATAGAAATATGTATTTTAAATACAATATAAATATATTTTCTCTTAAACTGTTCACACGATATTTATAATTGTACATGCGATTGTATGTTTACTTAAAGAACTGTTTTTGAAAATTATTTTATACTTGTATAAATAAAATATGTTAACAATTTTATATTATTTATGAAGTTTATATATAAAATACTTTATCTAATAGTTTTTTCATTAGTTGTTATATAACATTTATTTATTCTAATTGTTATATGTTTCTAAAATGTATCAACTAATGTTGAGGCAAATATTTTTATTTTAATATAAATTCTTGAATATAATTGAAAAAATTAAGAAACGATATATGTAAACAATTATCATTTCTTACAAGTAAAAGTTCAATTTTTTAAATATATACATTATTTTCTTTTTTGCAGCTACTTATACATAATGGGTGAATTAAATGTATGTTTTCAAATAGATACAGACAATCGTGAAAATTTTCCATCTGCAGCTGCTTTTCAGACATTTAAAAATCAAAGAGATAGTTTTTATGAGATATTTAGGATATGGGAAAAAAACCATTTGGTGCCTGGATGGATATTTCAAATAGCTTTAGGAAGTAAAATAAGAACTATGTTGACATTACACAATGATGCTATAAATTATTATCATTTTGCAAGATTATTTAAGTCGCAACTTTTGATTTCATGTATACAAAATAGGCAACAGGTAAGCTAGATTAATAAAATTATATGTTTAAATATTCTTTATTTTACTTAGATACTAGTTTTTTAGTTTGTCTTTATTATTTTCAGACAGAGGTAGAAGATGATGAAAGTATAAGTGTTTTAAAGACATTGAAAAATGTAAATCCGAAAAAATTGGATCAGCTTCAAAAGAGATTAGTAACTCCACAGCCTTCCAAAAACCAAATTACGGAACCATCTTTCCCTGGGGTACAAGAATTTTTCAAAGACTTTATATTATTTGCTTTTAATCCAATCTTTTATGTTCATCTAGAAAATTGTTTAATCCACGAGATAATGGAATTGAACGATACTCAGTTTAACAATAGTGAAATAGAAGATTCAGGTATTAATATATACATATAGCATTAATGTAAGTTATGTATTTCCATTTATTATTGATATAACTATATTATTTTCTTTTGTAACAGAAACAATAGTTGATGAGCAAACACAACAAAATTTTATTACTTGTGTATCCAGCTTAAGGCTCCTTGCAAAAGTTTTAGGTTTTCTTATATCATTACCATATAGATCAGAATCAAACAATTTTAAAGAGTTGATAGCAACTCAAGTAGAAATTAGAAGCAAAGTAAGTAATAAACTTCCTGCTTTATATACTCTTTTATTATTAATAAACGAAATTAACCTTAAGATCTTTATTTAGGTTGTACCAGCAATAAATTTACATGTTTGTCTACATAATGCAATAGCATTAGGAAAATTATCATTAACTGTACCTTGGATTGCAAAATACTTGGCTATGATGGATACTGTGTGTCTTCGTTTACCATATTATAAGCAAATTTTGGAACTTTTATATTATATTTATAAAGCTGTAAATCATTTTGATTTTTCAACATCTGACAGTTTTATTTCTCAACAAACAGCAGTTCTTCTTAAATCTACTTTAAGTTGGTTATTTGAATTACCAAATGTTCCAAAGGATTTGTATTCTATGTGGCAAAAGATATATAAAGTTAGAGAATTGCGAAGTTTGAAACAACCTGATAAATATCATGAGCAAAAATATATGCTATTAGGAGAGCCGACTGTGTCTGTTACATCAACTAAATGTAGTTTAGACAAATTGGACATAATTAATGAAAGAACGTTGCGCATATGTTGTCCATTGGTTGGATTAAACGTATCTGTATCAAATTCTAATACAAATCTAAATAATTATAACTCAAATAAACACATTACACCAGTTTCTAGTCAACTTCACAAATCTGCTAAGAGTGCAGATATAAAGCATTTAGAGGTAAGTTTATCAGTTAGACTTGTTTCATAAGAAAAATTTTAATATATAAATTTCAATAGTTGCAATTGGAAGAGGCATTTTTTGGCGGACAACCAGCATCTACTCGAAAAACTGTTGATTTTGTATCAGAGCGAGTTGCGTCAACTTGTGTGAAACATATATGTAACACTTTGTTAATGGCCTCTAGAGAAACAAATCTGAATATTTTTAGGGAGATTCTGAAAAAAAAGCAAATCGAAAGACAACCTGAGAAATTCGGGGAACAACGTAACGTTACAGATTTTAAGGTAGATTTTCGAATTTTTTATATTCATCGTAATACTACGAAATACTATGATGTTTAAATATATTTTTAAATTACCTAGCTAATTCATATATTATTCCATTTAGGCAATTGTGACAACTGATATGAATACATTGGCTACGAATATGTCTAAAGAACTGAAAGAGCAGTGCGAAATATCTATACCAGGAATTTGTGAATTACGGGTAACTAAATGTATAGAATCTCTTTTAGCGGAAGATTCGTTGACACCTGTGAAAGAAATGTGTGCTAAAATTGCTACGAGATTAGCTATGGAACGTATATATCAATGGATACAATCTCACATAGTGGGTGGCTCATTATTTATAAAAGATATGGAAGTTGAATTAAATAGATTTTTAAGGAATAATGCACCACTTCATCCTATTGAAGAAAAGAAACATAATCCAAATGTTATGAGCCCAACAACTATCACTGATAACTTGAGAGTAATTATTTACATGCTTGATATTTCGTTTAATAGAGTAACATTAAAACTTATTAGTTTTTGTATTATAACTTTTACAGGAACTTATATGGGTTATACTTGATAATGGTGGTGATTCTTTAACAATAATGATTGTTTCGACTATATTAGATAATTTATATCAGACTTTAAATGAAAGAGCTGATTTAGTTGTGGGGCCAGAGAAAGTTTTATATTCTCTTAGTACAGATTTTGCGTTATTTTTAGGTAAGTAAATATTAAGTTATTAATAATATATATGATTCATTATTAATTATTGTCATACTACGAAAAAAATCCTGGGCTTTTATATTTGCAGTTGCTTATCGAAGTGATCTGTTTGTTCCAAAAGTTCAAGAAAAATTTATAACAGTATGGGCAATGAATCGTTGTAAAACTTTGGAATCAGATTCGCCTATACATAGAATACTTAGTTCTAGAAACGTTATGCTTTTAGCTCAACCAGAAAAAGAAGAAGTTTGGACAGTGTTTGGAAAATTTATTAATAAATTAATAGAGAAAAATGTTTTAGATATTAACAGTTTTAGCGATCAATGTGTAGCTTTATTTAGGCAGAACTGGCCTGTGGTAAATATTTTATTTTTCTATTACTTATTAAAATAGATTGTGATAATTATCATTTATATCAAGCTATCAGTTTCTGTATTTTTATTTATAGCCTATATTGAAGCATCTATCAAAATGTTTAATGGAAGTTATAACAGATTTCAAAGCATCAGATGAAACAACAGAGAAAGTAAAATATCTACTTGGTTGGATAGCTGAAACGTATAACGAGATAGAGTTTTGCAGTGATTACAATCCCATAGACTGATGTTCTTTTGATCCTTTATACTTATAGCTTCTTCGTGGGCTGATATACTGTATAAATTCTACAATTCTTGTGCATATATGAATGTAAATTATTGTACATTAATTAATCAATTTAGTAGGTGAAAGAAATGTATATTTACGATATACAGTAATTTCGGAAATTGTTATTACGACATGGTTGTAAATCGATATAACGAATTTCACTTTATTTTAAAGTACATAAATTTCTGAACTTGTAAAACAATACCATAAATTTGAAATCTGGGATTTGATTGACTTTTTATTTAGCAGCACTACTTATTGTTGATCGTACTTTAGTTGATCGTTGATTGTACATATGCATTGTACATGTACATATGCACGGATTTCAATTTTTACTTTTAAATGTTACGTTATATACTCGTTTCTATGTTTGACATCAACTGTTGCATTTTAATGGATAAATGCGTATTTTGTAGTTAACGACGAAATATTAACTTTTCGTATGTACGAAACGTAAAATAAAGAAAAAATTGTTTTTTATATCTTTATTTTTTGATTATAATCCTTGCATTGCCACCTTCCATTCTCCATACTTTTGATAATTGATCTTAGTTACAATTAATCGCGTATCGAGCTGCGAGTCCCTTTTTTTCCAAATACTTTTATTCCCCACTATTTCTTCGAGTGTATGCGCAACGTAGGATGCGCGAACGAGTTGAGCGCGAACAAATTTTGTTGCAGTTCTCCGCCGTTGCTCGAGGAGTTTGTACGTATCTTGTTGCTTCGTAATTTTTCATTAAACACTAGTATCGATGATCACGTTGCGTCAATCAGCAACGTGTTTTTTCGAGTGAGCCTGTCATTTTTTATACGTTTGTTAATTATTCTGTAGAACAAAAAAGATGTGTTTTCTTTATACAAATTCGGTCATACTTCAAACGAATATAACTATTTATTTTCATTCATTTCAAATAACAGGTGATATATTGCAATGATTTAGTAATGCATTATCATTTGTCGACTTACATTGTATTATTTTAGACGCGTTAATGTGCAAATAATTAAGAAGAGTAATCGATGACACTGAGAAACGAAATCTTATATTTGTTAATATTTCTCTATGATAGATAAGACCACTATGACACATGAATGTCGGTCGGTAGCTAAACAAAACGAACGCGATATTTTGCAACAGAAGTCGCATCTTTTTTAATAACAGGTAAATATCTAGTGTTTCGCGGGATTTTTCTTCGTTGTACTAAGAATCTAAGATGTCGATAAGAAAAGAGGGAGGAAGGGAAGACGATAAAACGGTGATGTTGACAGGTGGTAGCATCGGAGTAGCTGCGTTCGCGTGCATATTTCGATCGCGTGTATTTACTCATTCGGTGGGTCGCTCGGTGGGTAAAGAAAGGCGATCCTGTGCATCCAGCTCTCGCAAGCGAAAAGAGATTGATCGACCGGTGTCTGAGCGCGAACACGTTCTCGAGGATGCTGCTGCACACGCGGCGCAACGGACGAGTGTCGAACAATGCGGCCTACTCCAGTAACTTTCTTTCCTCCAAGAGCACCCGTTAATTCGAAGGAACACGCGATCTACATTCTTGTAGCACGTGTTTACTGACACGTGGCTCGCTCGAGAAGCTGTCAAACGATCCATGGAATCGCGCAACGTCTGCCCATACTTTTTCATCGAACCAACTATTTCTCCATCTCGTAAGGTAAGTTTCCTCACCGAGTGTTTGTTCTTCAATTGTTTTGATCACGTGATTCTTAATACGTATCAATGAAAGTAACATCTAGCCTTTTCTATATAATACTAATTAAAGGAACACGTTCACTTGAGTGTAAAATTACCGTGAATTGCTTTCGGGAGTAATTTCTCACAAGCGGATACTGCGTCGAGAGCGACTATCTAATCGAATAGTTTATTATCCGATATTATTTATTATTACATTAGCGGAAATAACGAAGAGTAAATATAAAGATAAATTTTTGCGAAAGCGTTAAGTACCAGAAAAAAGTGTGCATTGGTGATATTGCAGGCTTGTTTGTAAACTGTAACAAGCGTTCTTGTGAATCGAACTGGAAATCAAAACGATAAGGTCACTACATTTAAATATCGAGTCCGCTCGGAAACCGGATAGAAAAATACACGTGAGACACAGTTTTGCTATCGTTGCGGTTATTAACGAGCAGTTTTTTCAAACATCAAACGACTTTGTCTGCGAGCCTTTAACAGCATGCTTCTCCAAGGAATGGAGAATGGAATCTTTTTACGTTCTTTTGACAACTTCACACCATTCGAGAGAAATTTTTCTCTCATTTTTGGTTTTTAAAGATAAAGATCGAAGTCGGGCGAAAATGTTGCCTTTTCGCCTGTTATACTTGATAGATTAGCTTGGTTGATTAGTAACGGTTACGCGTAGTTATAAATGCTCGCTATTACTGGCAACTTTTGTAAGGGACGGCCGCAATTTGTGGCTGGTGGTGTCGAGCGCCATTTTGATTCACCTCTTTACAGGAAATTACCAGGCCTGTTTCAATTTACCCCTCCCGCGACACGCGAGGCTCCATCACAAATTCAATTTTCCTCAGCAGAACCAGTTGAAAAGAATATTAGTTTGGTTCTACTTCAATCTAAAACCACTCGTATAACATTTTATTTCATTATTTTTATGCAAATATACGAGACTTATTGTAATCAAAGCCATGGTAATTCCTTAGACCCATGGTATAAAACGTTATATGATTAATATCTAATTTACGCGTGTACAAGATATCGAGGGTCATAAATCTCAATCGGCGTTCCGCGCTCCCTCGCGCTTCCTATAGAAATCATAAATCAAAGCTTCTTATGTTGTTATTATGTATTGGGTTGGCAACTAAGTGATTGCGTATTTTAAATAAGAAGGAAAATTCAACATTTTTGCTTAAAACTATAACTTTATTCAATTAGGTATTGTCCGTTTTCGTCGATGACCTTGATATCACATCATCAGCGTCATTAAAAATTTTACCATTTAAGGAGTTCTGCATGGGACGTAATAAATGGTAATATGAACATTCAAGGTCAGGGCTATATGGTTGTTGTGATAACACATCCCAATCTAGTTCCAATAATTTTTGATGAGTGACCAAAGATGTGTGAGGCGTTGCATTATCATGATGGAAAACAACACCCTTACGATTTGCCAATACTGGCCGCTTTTCTTGAACTGCATCGCTCAGTTTGGCGAATCGTTGAACGTACACGTTTCAATTAATCGTTTGGTTTCTTGGTCAAATTTCAAAGTACAGAATTCCTTCATAATTCCATCAAACTGACAGCATAATTTTTTTTTGCTGAATCTCAGCTTTTGGTGTCGTCTGGGCTGGCTCATCTTGCATCACCCACGATCTTTTCCCATTAACGTCGTTATAAACTATCCACTTTTGGTCGCCGGTAATCAGTCGTTTCAGAAATGGATTAATTTCGTTGCGTTTCAGAAGCGAACCGCAGATGCTAATGCGTTGCGTCAAATGAATTTCTTTAAGCTGATGAGGGAGCCACAAATCGAGTTTCTTGACATAGCCGAGCTGTTTTAATTTTTTTTTAACGCATGTATGCTATACATTGAGCTTCACTGCAATCTCACGCGTTGTGCTATGACGATCTGAATCGATAATGACCTTGATATGGGTCTCGCCAACTTCAACTGGACGAGCAGATCGTTGAACATTTTTCATTGAAACATCACCAGAACGAAATTTGGCAAACCAATTTTGACAGTGCCTTTCTTTCAAGACTTCATTCCCATATACGGCACATAACTTGTTGTGTGCTTGGGATGCGTTCTTGTCTTTTCGGAAATAATACAATAAAATATGCCTGAAATCCGCGTCTTGCTCTTCCATTTTTAAATTAGGATAAAAAGGAAACTAAATGACTAATCGATACAATTTTACTACTGAATTAAAGGTGGAAGCCCAAACAACAAGAAAACAATATAGGTTAGGTGCTTTGAACACGTTGACAGAATAAAAGAATGTGCTAAGGCCACCTATTGACAAAATCAGTAATAACTTAGTTGCCAACCCAATAGATGACACGTAGATTACCTCAAAGATTCAGAATTTAAGTAATCGAATAAACACTTTATGTTATGTTTCAAATAAAAACTGTATGTTCAAACGCATAAAAATTATATCGTTGCCCTTTGTGTAGTATGGCAACGTTTCAATGTTCTTAAACTTATATGTACAATAATGCTGTGCGTAAGTATTTGGACATTTGATGCAATCTAGTCGAAACATTGATATTTTCACTGTATTTCTAACATTATGATAGAAGAATGTTTCTTAACTGTTAATTCTTTACTTCTTGCAATAAATGGGCTGAATTGTATTAAAATTTTTAGAATGTGTTTGGAAGTAGGTATTCTAACCATTTAAAAATCTTAACATCGAACAGATACACTTGAAATCACTAATTAATATCCAAGGCGTATTTTATACATCTGCAATAACGCGGAAGTGCCCAAATGTTAATGCATGATTGTCTACCTAGATATATTGTACTGTATCTTTAACACGTTGAATGCCACACCAGTTTTACAAGGTTTGAACGTGGCGCCACGATGAATTTCGTTATTATGCGATACATATGATGTTGAAATATTACCCACAAGAAATATGTTACGGAGTATAATCATCATTAATGAATTTATCTCACTGAGGTCACCGGTGACCCCCAGGGCGCTGTAGTGCAATTTCGCTCGATTCAATTATTCTTTGCGATTATCAAATATCTCATATTGTTTCTTCGCGTTGCTAAATAATTGTTCTATGTTGTTGCGTCCCGGGGCCTACCACAAATCATAATCCATCCTTCGGTCATACTTATTCGGACCCGCAACAATCCTAAAGAACCGTCACAAGATTTAGCATTTTTTACTTTACTGTCAAGGCCCTTAATTACCATCAGACATCTTTCAAGTCGAAACGTTCCTTACTGTTATTGTTCGTTAAGATAAAACACGGAAAAAGCGTGTTTTTCCCATATTCGACAGCCACTGGTGGGGGACGCACATAATAGATGCATATTTCATGTATAAATAAAACTATTTTTATAAGTTTTATACTGCATTAATTTCGTCACACCATTGTAATAATAATAATAATAACAAATTTGTAACTATTGATATTTGTTCAAATTATGTATTTCTACTAATCTTGATGCGCCGGTCACCGGTGACCACCACGGCGCCACGGCCAAGTTGAGTGCCGGTCACCGGTGACCTCCACGGCGCCACGGACAAGTTGAATGCCGGTCACCGGTGACCCCATGGCATTCAACGTGTTAAGAAAGAGTTGGAATAACTAGTTACTTGTATCGTAAGTTACTCTGAAGAAAGTGAAAAATAGCATCAATAAATATATAGTGTTCTTGAATAGATGCGAGAGTAACGAAGAAATGGAGACACTTTACACGGGAGCAATCCACGGGTTTCCCCAATCGAACGGTGGACTGCCTAATGGAATATCTACGGGAATTGCCAGCTCGTTCGATCAAGACGGCGTGTTGAGTCTCATCGTCGTTCTGGGCGGAAGCTTGTCTCTGGTTGCTCTAGTCTTTGCCTTCATTACCTATAGGTAAGTCGATTGATATTGCTATTGCCAATAAATAGTCAGCGACATAACAGATTTTTCAAAAAGAGTCAAATAATTGATTGTCATTGTTGTCGATTGGTAACAATGGATACTGTACATTGTTCATATCTTAACACTTAGCCAACCGAATAGGGAAATCTGCCCTCTGTGAAGAACATCGCTGCGTGACCGAACTGGGAGATCTCCCTTTTTGACTTTAGCAACGCGTTTTCTTTTCTTTTTGTTGTTGTTATTAGTTATTGTTTACCTGGAATTGTTCCCAAATAATTGCACCACTTTTTCTGCTTTTATAAAGTACAGTATATAATAAGATATAGCAATTAGTGGTGTTAAAATGAATTAAAAAGCTACACTATCAGTTATGACTAAATAAAGTTATAATCGAACGATACGACACTGTAAAAAAATATTAAAATGCATTATGAAATTTTAATTTCACGTTCAAATCGCGTTATTTATCTTTGGTCATCTTTAATGTTTTCAATTTTGCCTATACTTTTGTATACTTTTAATATATACTTTTAATTTGATGTTTTGTATAAACAATACGTGAAATCTTTAAATAAAATCATTACCGCAAATATAATTAACCACTTAAATCATTTTTACATTTGTTTATTTTTTAAGTAGCGAATATTAGTCCTCGATACTTGGAAAAATGCGCGGTTGGCTAAGTGTTAAAGGAAGATTTCGACAAATCCAAGTTATTATTTTCTTATACTAATAAATTACACTATAATACAAGATAATTAATAATATAACATATATTATAATATAATATAAATAATATAATACAAGAAGTTATACCAAATTATCATTTTCCAATCGGATTAACATGCTTGAAGCGTATTTGGCTTTGTGAACAGTTAACAATAAGATTAGGGAAGCTGATATAAACTTTATAATCAGGTATTCGCTATCGGAAATTGGATGGAAATGAAAAGGCGCAGTTTCTTTCTTTCTTTTTCGATGTTGGTTATCGATATCCTGAAACCCGATGAGATAAAATAAAAACTTGAGAAAATGTTGATCATGTTGAAGTATCGTAATCGATTTGATTTTAATAAATCGACGTTTGCACTATAACAGCGCGTGAAAAATAAAACCAGATTACTATTTATTAGAAAGTAGATTTTTTCCTATAAGCGAACATGCTTATTATTCAAGAATCGTACTGTGTTGTTAAATTGCACGGGATGCTTTAACAATTTAAATGCAATGCTGTTTCCGCGCCACTGAAATTCCAATTATCAAACAGATAAAATTTAACAAACGAAAAGAATCGAAGTTCTTTTTGAAAATCTTTCCACGTTATTTATTCCCTCTAATTTATCACTCGTTTAGCCATTACGTATAAAGTAGTCTAGTATCGTGGTCGAATAGCCTACGAGATATCGCGTGAACCATAAACAATGTCACGAGAAAGCCGAAGTGCCATCTATGTATCGTCGGTCCTTCAATCTAACAGTTACGCGGAAAAAAGGCCTACGTGACTCTGGCCACGAACGGTTGCGGAACACGTGCGTGGTGGGGCTATGAAAAAAAACGAAGAGATGCTAAGGGAGAAAGACGAATTAACAGTCAGTGTGAGTTGAGAAGTCAGAGAGTGTGCATTGTATTATCGAGAGAGTGTTGCTACTGTTGTCGAGAGAGTGCGGTCTGCGCGAGAGAGAGCGTTGGAACCGTAGTAACGAGAGTTGTAGATTAACTATTTAGTTGTCTTAGTTGTGGCACGTTATTGTATTTAGTTCACATTAAATAACCATCGTTTCCTGTTTAACCAACACCTGTTTAATCCATGTTTAAATCAAATAATAATAAGATCCTACAGTAGCGAACGAAGAAACAGACAAAGTTATTTAATGATCGTGAAACGAAGAAGCGCGTCCAGTCGGTTTGAAATCCAATTACAGATAGTTACGGTAATATAAAACCGCCTTTGTTCTATTTCACTCCCTCTTTCAATCTACTTTCCATTGTGTTTCGATAGTCCGATAAATTTCAAAACCCTTTCGAAATAACACCAATCGCCTTTCTTTCTAAAAATCGTTCGCTCCTGTCGAATGTATCAAAAACATCGGTTTTGTTTCAACTTTGTTAGTTTCCATATTTCCCTCCCTCGATATCATGTATTTACTTCGATCCAGCGAATTTATCTCACAGCAGTCAAAACCATCGGCATCGATTCCTCAGGCTATGTATTGCGAAATTTTTCGGACCGTTGTACGTTGAATTTTGTCTTGTCTGTTATTCTTTGTATTAGAATTTTGTCGACGCTCAAAACCAACAATTTCGCACAAGATTATTTCAAATATACAAAGTGGTTGGTAACTGGTGGTGCAAGCAGAAAGGGGGTGATTCTACGCGAAAAAAGAAGTCGAAAATATAGAATAAAAATTTTTCGTTCGAGGCTTTGTTTTCGAGAAAATCGACTTTGAATTTTCGTTCGGTACGCGTGCGATACGTTATAACATATCTCACTGTAGATCGTTGTCTCGAAGGAAAAATTTGAAAAAAAAAAATTTTTATTCTATATTTTCGACTTCTTTTTTCGCGTAGAATCACCCCCTCTCTGCTTGTACCACCAGTTACCAACCACCCTGTATATCATTAATTTCATTTCAACTTTTAAAATAAAATAAAAAATAAAACGATCATTGCGATGTATTGAAAATATTGAGTTGG